AAAATCAGTTTCCTTGGTTATAAAAGATATGGTGAATTAATAAAACAAAGAACAAACACATTCAAGGACATTTATACTATAGGTGGACAATCTTAAGGGGGGAAATGCTAATATCAATATAAAACAGTATTTCTACTTATAAATGCAAATTTTATGCTATATCTGACCACTCTTCCTTCGTATTGCATAGACTTGAGAAACTACTTGATATGCCCTCTACTTGGAACCACCTACTTATCCTGTACACATGCATGAACACACATAAACAAACACACATAAATATGATATTTCTTATCTTCTAGCTAATTTCTGCCAATATTTTAGGTCTTAATATACATGTCATTTCTTCATAAAAACTACTGTCACTTCCCCAAAACCAACTCTGAGACTCTGAACTACTCTAGCAATATGGTTCACTCTGTCTGTACAGTAATTTCCTGTTTATCTGTTTGCTTTGCACATTAAACTCTAAGTTGTGCCAGTTGCCATGAACTAGCTGTGATTTCATCAGTGTTTATCTTAGGGCTTAGCATAATGGCAGCCACAAAGTGTATAAGTTCTCAATATAAACATGTTTAAGGAATGCATACATTTTGCAATATAGGTGCAATTCCCTTTTATCATCATGGTTCAAAAGTATGTTCATTTCTAAAATATATTTCCTAGGGTAATTAGTTCCAGTTATTTCAAAGAGAAATTAAGTTAGGTATGCAGATATTATCATATACCTATTGTGGTAAAACACAGTGCTGATACAGATGAAGTGTGCAGTCATGTAGCAGCTTCAAGATCTGGTACCTGATCCTCAGTGTCCACTATCCCCAACTGTGGAAGCATGTTGTAAATGGGAGAGTCTACGAGGATGTGCCCCTGAGTGATATGTGGAAGAGATCCTCCTGTTGACCCCAACGGATTAAGTAATAAACCTCAAAGGTTGCAGCACAACTAATCTATCTTGATTAACACACTTTGTAACATCTACTTACCCCATCTCTTCCTTCTTTCACTCAGAATTTGTTTCCCTTCTACAGAAGTAGAAAAAGACAAATGTTCTCTTTCCAAGCCTCCCTTGCAGCTAAGACTTGCCATGTGACATATTTCTGGACAAAGAAATGAAAAAGAAGTTTTACTTGTGCTTCTATTAAATATTCCCATCTTCCAAAAAGAGGCTCTGCAAAGAACTTTCCTCCCCTATTTTTCTCCTGCATGCATGCAACTGTATGGAGCTATCTTCCAACTGAGGCCAAAGAACTAAAGACAGTATCTTAAGAAAAATGTGACATCACCAAATTTAACACCTCAAGACCTGCTATTATGTAAGACTACAAGTATCTGTACTGTTTGGACCACTGTTGAACTGGAATATTTTGTGACATATTTAAATACATCCCAACTAATTGTGTGAGGAATATGTGAGCTTCCCACTCAAGCATCACATCAGCCTGAACTTCCAAAACCAAGGATAAGCCATCAAGTCATGTTAGATACCTGAGAATGACAGCATCATTTGGAAGCACTAAAGAAAATAGATCATCTAGTGATGAAATTCTTTGGCTGAAGATAAAAACTGTGTGCTAAATTTAGAAAATGACAGTGTTCTTGCTTACACAGGAAAAGAAGCAAAGAGGGTAGATTTGAAAAGGATACTCACAAGTAAATTCATTCATTTTTTCTTTTTCAGAACTAGGTCACAAAAAAATTTTATAATTATCTACCCTACCGGGAAACTCACTTGCCAAAATAGTACCCAAAATGTCAGCCACATTTGTTTTACCAGCAGTAGATTTTCAGAGGTTAGGAAAGAATTGATGAGGAAGCATCTCCTCTATGGGTGAGTGGTTTTTTTACAGAAGTTATTTATTTGTATCACTCTCAAATCTTATTTACATGTAATTTACTAGCTGTTTTAATCCACTTTAAAAATAGTATTCATTTATATGACCTCTCATTAGAAAATACTTTCCCAAGTATAATTCTTAAATTATTAAATATTCTATTGAATATTGGCAATTTTACAGAGCACGCATCAAAAGAGATAGACCTGTAAGAGAAATCATTCAAAGCTTTTTGAAGAAGTAATAGCATTCTGCAAACCAGGCAGGGTGCAACAAATAGTATAACACACTTTGACATGAGAAACAAACTCTCCAAAGAAACTCTCCCATCACCCCACTCCACGATGTGCACATTCTCTATCATTTTTAGGAATTTCCTCTACCTGATTTGACTCAGGAGGGTCATTCCCAACAGGAGCAACAGGCATAGACTGGATCTATGTTTTCAGGTCAAATCAGACACTTGATGAAGTTATTTTATGCTTGGGTGAATAACTATGGTATCTTTAATGCAGGGATTTGGTTTTCTTTTTATATACTGAAAAAGGAGAACTGCATGGGCTGGAAGAAATGACAGCACATGAAAAAATACGTTTCTTTGGGTTATTTGAGACCAAAATTTTAGGTCTGCAGGAGGCTGAGGGAAAGAAGCTCTCTAGGAAATACAATGAACCCCTGAGTGTGGATGGATGCCCCTGAGCAACCAAGAATCACAGGTAGACTTCCTGAGGAGAGAGTCAATGGAGGGAAAGGAGGTGACAGAAATCATTCACTGGGTTGGGTGTGACTCAGTGCCTAACATGGATGATGTCATGGGTTCAATCCCCATAACCACACACAAAAAAGTGAAAGCCATTCATAAATTCTTCTGAGTAGTGAGAAACCCTTTTTAAAACCCTAATATAATTGGTTATGATTTAGGGGGAGGGGGAGTTGAAGTCAACTGATTGCAGAAACATTTGCTCTTTTAGGCCCCTAAGCTTTTATAACAAAGAGAGTGATGTTATTAGGAAAAATAATCACAACCCTTGGAAATTCTGATTAGTGCATTCTTCAGTAGATAACTTCCAAAGAAACACTGTGGAATAGTGATTTTCCAAAGAGTATCTCAGGTACATTCTAATTCATTTTTAAATGTAAGCCATACATAAGTGAACATTAGCATTATCATATTAATATCATGATTATTTTCAAAACTTACAGTTTATTTTTGAGATCAAGGTTAATTTTCACCTAAAATGCAGAAGCGTTTACATTAATGTGAGGTGAACGGAGCAGGGAATTGAAAAAGAATTAGGATATGTTATGTACATGTACAACTCCCCATGGGGAATTTAACCATGGCAAACATGTACCGATAAAAATTAAAAATTTTAAAAAGTATAACTTAGGGTTTGGAAACTTACTTTGTACTTTGGGAGTTCCTACTTAGATTATTTCCAATTACTACTTTCAAACAACAGGCATTATATTACCATATCTAATTCACAGGGACATTAGGCTATGTAATTCATAATGTCCCAAATAACTTTGATAGCGGTATTTACCAAATTGCCTGGAAACTTTTCCTCCAAAATTACAGTATCCAACACAGAATATGCATAACATGTGATTTCAAGATTAGTGAATGTTTCTCCAGAATTTATATGAGATGATAAAAATATGGTAAATGTTTAAATTTTAAGATTTATTTCAGTAGATGACACACTGCCGTTAATGCCTTTCAAATACTCCCCTTTTCTTGAAACACGTTATCCCATTTATTCCTGCCACTTTCTGAAGCAGTTCTAGAAGCCCTCTTTTGTGTCTTTTCAAAGTGCGATTAAAAATACAGTGAATGCTGGTACCAAGTGCAATCAGACAGAAAGACTGGCTTGTGAAAACATTACAGTATATCCTTATCCACCTTATCCACCAGGTCTGGTAATGTTTGACTGCTGGGTCCTCCTTAAAGTCTAATTGATCATGAAAAACATTTTGAATTGATTCAAGAAATCTAGGCAACCATGACAGTGCACCTAAAGTTACTCATGAAAAAAAGATTTCCAAAATTACTTCAGAAAGTTGCAAGAATGATGGAATAAGTGTGTTCAAATCAGGAGGGTGTATTTTGAGGGGGACTAAATGCAATGCATCTTTTACTGTAATATTTTAAATTTAAAATCACCATATTTTTCTATCACATCCCATATATTAAACTAAAATCTTCTCTCCTTCAAAATATTCACCTTTTTACATATATTCAACTCAAATGTGATCTCACTAAAGATCAAGCCCAGGCACTAGTTCAGTGCTGGCCATTTAAGTGTCCAGCACATATTGAGTAGGTCCATGCACATGTGAATGAGTGGTAATAAACGAACTTATGAATGAACTCTGAGCCTCCCCTTGAGGACTGCTTTCCATTCAGTGACCCTCATTTTAACATCTACATGAATGGCAAAGCTTTGTGGTTTGGGGTGAATTTGATTGGCAAAAACAGTCAAAATCATTTAGAGTAAATCTTGAGAATAAGATCTACAAGCTACTAGAATAAGGACACTTAGGGAAATACAAGGCATGATCAAACTATCTCATGTCTGACTTCTCATAATTGGCAATTCCAGAAATAATTTGAGCATCAACTCTACCAGGCATACCAAATCCAGAGTGACTACTTAGAAGGGCTATGCTTATTTGAATGCAGGAAAAAATGACATGCTAATTTTCTGTTTCTCTCATTAGGGTTCTACATTTATAATAAAGGTATATAATATTTTTAAATGCAATGGGGGAAAGTGCTGTAAGTTTATTTGAATCTGAAATCCACAAAACCTGATTTTTCCAGTCTGTAAAATACAAGATCAATCTAGACAATTTCTATACACTTTTCCAGGGCTAACATTCTATAATTCTATAAATAAAAAGGCTAAACAATGCTCACATATTTTTGAACATTCTCAACAACATTTCAGAGGTTTCATCTTGAAGAGAACTGTCCCTTAAACAATCACAAGGCCTCAAAGGAAATCATGCTTTAGGCTGTAGACCACAAAGTGCATGGCTACTGGAGTATGACACACACACACACACACACACACACACACACACACACACACACACACATTCCCCTTTCCCTATCCCTCCCCCTCTAAGTCTCCCTTCCTCCTTCTTCCTCTCTCTGTTTCTGTTTCTCACCTTTACACACCCACACACACACACACACACACACACACACACAAACACACACACGACTCTGTCCCAGCAGTAAACTATCTGTCCCCAAAACAGGGATAATTACAAAAGTCCAAATGGTGATTCACAGTTATGTGAAACCAGTTTCATAATGCACACAGAGTAAAGATGATTTTTAAGTATCTCTCAACTTTTCACTAAGTAGTTACAACTTCAAAAGCAGAGGAAGTGCCTTCAAATGAAAGTATAACTGCAGACTTCAGAATTTCCTGCTTCCGATTATGTCCAAAATATCTTATTCTGTAGATTCCAGCCTGGGCAGTGTCTGGAATATGCCACTGAATTGTTGCATTGCTCCAACCAAAGGCTCCCTTGTGCCAATAAAACCTGTTGGTAGAAAGAAAACAAATAAGAAAAATACAATTTTAGTCTTAAAAATGTGTGAACATTCAACGAATATTCAAGGAGTGTCTGCAACAAACAAGATACTACTCTAGCCACTGAGGATATAGCAATGAACAAAATATAAATAACTATTTCTTAAAAGAGGAACTTTAAAGAAAAATTGAAGAAATATCTTTACTTGTTCTGCCTTTCTAACACCTACACTTTACCCATCCCAGGAAATCTTACTTGATATTTAGAACACAGATGTCTCCTGCTTTGAATTATTATAGCACTCTCTTAGTCCTTATCAGACTCTGTAGCGACTGACACTTCTTTTCACATCTAGTTTGATTTCTTTAAAATATGTGTTTCGTGAGCATATGCACCACTTTCACTTCTACTCAGAATTCTGCTTCAAGAAGTCCTCTCTCACTGGTACCCTTACAAGGTATAATTGAAAGCATGATGAGTGTTGCTGCCGAGGGCCATCCAATGCTAAGGCAGCCTTGTAGAAACATTACAACGTGTCCTCATCCAGCTGTTTCACCAGATCTGGAATCATGTAACTTCTGGCTCTTCCCCAAAGTCAAAGCGACATCCATGAAAAGCATGGTATATCCAGGCAGCTACAACAGCGCAACTAAAGACACTCACAAAAGAGCACTTCCAGCACTGCTTCAGAAAGTGGCAAGAACGATGGGATAAGTATGTTTCAAGCAGGCAGGAGAATTTTGAGGTCTATTAATGCCAATGTGTCTTACTGTAACAGATTTTAAAAATTTTAACATTTGCCATACTTTTTATCATACCTCACAGTAATGAGAAAGATGGACATAGTCTTAAAGTTTTATGAAACTTACACTGTATTGGGATAGGAATGGAAATAAAGACATCCTATAAATAAACCAATAAATTTGAGAGTTTTAAGAATAATCCTAATAGAAAGAAAAGGGCTAAAGGTGTAGGAAATATGGGAAGGGTAGGGGAAAGATAATAAGGGAAAAGGAAAAAAATAGGAGAAAATGAAAAAAATGGAAATAAAGTGTTTGTAAATGGGGAGGGGAGGAGGGGGTGAAGGGAGGGCAGGGACAAGGGGAAAAAATGATAACCAAGACCTGTCATGTAAAGGTACAAGATCCCAATAATGAATGTAATTGTAGTGTATACCTAAAATGTACCAATAGACTCAATGAGGAAAAAAAAGAATAAGCTAAATAATAAAATAAAATCTTCTCTGAGAAAATGTAATTTACACTGTCAACATAGATAGTGAACAAGAGTGTTTTAGAAAGAAAAAACAGAAGACTCAGTGTACAAAGTGGGCACAAACTTGGTGTAGCCAAAAACAAAAAGCAGGTAAGTAGGAATGGAGCTTATCAAACCGTGGAAGAGTGGCTGAGAAGAGAAAAACACATGGACTCAGATCCTGCTGGCCTCAGCCTACCATGGCGAGCAGCTCCAGCACTCCTCAAGGCATAGTGAGACACTGACCAGCAAATTGCTTGATATCTCAGTTATGTAGAAAGCTAATCCTTTGGGTACAGAGAGTGTCCTCAAAATTTTGTTGCTGAGTGATTGGCTTTGTGCTCTCTATAAATATTTTATGCTACTTGCTGGTGATGAACAAGACAGGGTTCTAAACCTGTCCTGAGTGTTGCCTGGTATTTCCAGTGTTAGCTTTTAATATAGAAGATCATTCTTTTTCATCATCAGTAAAGCTACTTTTTGTACAATATGTATGTATTACTTGGTGTACACACACACACACACACACACACACACACACATCTGTAGAGTTCTAGAGAACAAGAAAGAAATCATGCTTGTATTTACATGAGGCTATCAAATCGACCACAACATGGTCAAATCCCTATTTTTCAGTGAACCATATGACTCAAACCAGCATGCAAATAATTAATTGCCTTGAGATTATCTGAATTAGATACAAATTGCCAAAAATTTTACCCACTTCTGTGCCACTCTCTTGTGGTATAACTTTTACAAAGTTGAGAAGATAAAAATTTTCTACTTCAGACAAACTGTTGAAATCCTCAAAATATTTATTAAACTCTGTAATTTGGTAATAAAGGGCAGAGAGATAAATGTCTCTGGAATACAGGAACTTGATATCACCTTGCTTGACACTGCAAGAGTTAAACATCGTAAGCCTCTCAGGTTCCTATAAGTAAATGAAGAATCACTGTTCACACACAAGCATGAACTACATACTGGAATAGGTTTGTTATTTTCCAAGTAGGAATGATGTGCTCTTCAGAGACACTGCAACTCCTTCACCCAACACCTCTTTCAACCACCTTGCCAGAAGGCATTAGTTATCTGTGACCATGAAAAAGAAAATGAAACTAACCAGATGCCTCTAAGAATGGAAGCCATAACCTCATTAGCACCTATCTTACAGAAGCACATACTACACTGTTTGGTAGAAAAGCAGAATCAAAATTAAGTCTAATAAATTAAATACGGCTAGAAGGATCCTTGGGAATTTGATATTATGAATACCATGCTTTGAGTCAGTCCTCTGCATGTTTCCTGCATTATTAACCAACTTCTGCCCAGGTCTGAAGGACAAAATATTCATAAGACATGCTCACCGAGTGTCCCAGGAGGCGTCATTATACATTATGTGCCAGGCTGCTGTAGTGTCTTCATATTTCTCCACAGTGAGAAAGGTCTCGTGGCTCTGAAATAAAATTAATATCAGATACCACATAGTCACAAAAAGATCCAGTCTCTACTAACTTCTTTGCTGACCACACACCAACCACCCAATTCCTTGCGTGAAACTGTATTAGAATTTCATCTGAATTCTTAGGTGTTCTCTTTAACATTCTATGCAGTGTCTTCAGAATATTAATTTGTCCAGTCCATTTAAAACCAGGACATTTTTAGACATTTCAGAGAAACATAATTATGGAGCTGATTGGAAATTAGGGCTGAGAAGAAACTGGGGGAAAATGTAAGATTTAAAAAGGGCATAAGTCATCTCTTTCCATGACATGTTTATTGCTCTATATCCAAGACTTTTCTTGGTCACCTTATGATTTAGAAGGGAAAATGACAGTTTCTTCATCTTTCAATTTCCTGTAGATGAATTATTAGTTACTATATCTCCCTCAGTGAAAGAATTGGAAAGAATACATAAATCTTCCTTGTACCAGGCAGTTCCTATATTTTGTCATAATGGATTCCTAGAAACCATATTATAAGTAGATTTTATTTCTTCACACGAAGATTACTGTAACAGGGAAATTTGTTTCAAGCCATGAATTTAGCTGAAAATAAAGTACAGATATGAATGTGACAAGGTAATAAATACAAAGGCCATAAATCACCGATTTTCCTCAAAATCCTTTAGACTGTGGCCCTTAAAATATAAGAGTTGTGCTAAATTCACGTTTATCCATCACAGTCCTTTACATGTGTCATTTACCAGTGATCAACTAAGCCTTTGCTGAGTGGATCATTTTTTAAGCTGTTTCTGCCCATGTAGGGTCGAATGACATTGCAGAGGAATGGAGTAGGAAGTAGGATAGGACCTAGGGAAGAGGTCAAGTGTACAGAGGAGCACAAGTCTGCACCACAGAATAAAAGCACATCCCTACCATAACCTCTTCAAGAAGCATAATCAGTTACTACCAATTAGTCAATCTTTCTAGGGTTCAGTTTAGCAATCTCAAAAGTGTTCATAGAATGTAACTTATTGGGAGTAGTGAAGATTAAATTAAATCCATGTGATAATGTATACGAAGCATTTAGCCCAGGACCTGCAAATAGTAAGCACTTGATAAATACTGATAATGAGTACTAGAAATAAAGAGTACTTGTAACTGTTTTGCACCAAGTCCCAGGACATTTTTATAAATTAAGTATCTTTCCGTTACAGTGTTTTAAGAATTTTGTTCTCTTGTTTCTCTGTGTAAATAATGATGATAGAGTTCTTCTACCCTAAGGATGGCAAACGACAGCTAAGACTGAAGCTTTGGCAGAACAATTTGTTAATTCCAGAAAAAAGCGTTACAAGCATGTCAACATTTGGATATATCTCCAGCAGAAGTTGCTTGAAATAGGTGCAGGGGCCGGGGATTTAGCTCCGTAGCACTGCACCTGCCTCTCAAGCATAAGGTCCTGAGTTCAATCCCTGATACCAGAAAAAAAAAATTTAAACAGGTGCATAGTGACTACCCAAGAACCAGAACATTTTTGCCCAATCTCACATCTGGTGGTGTTAGGTTGCCACAATTTTTATGGCAATAATGATGTTTAATGAGCAGACATGGAAAGGCTCACTTAAAAGAAAAATAGTTTGGGTTACAAGTGATTATGGTCTCAGGGCAGAATAGCCTCATCTCATCAATAGTGTAAAATGAAAACTCACCCACAGTAAAAATATAACCCAAGAATACCTTTAATATGTCCACTCTCTTTTCCTCTAAAAATTTCTTTACTTAAATGTTTACAACTAGAATACGTCCACTTATTGCTTGTGTGGTCATAAGGCCATTCAAATGAATTTACAGAAAACTAAAAATTACTTCATGTTATTAGTAGATATATTATACTTGTGTAAAAATATGTATGTATATATATATATATATATCATAAAAACAAAAAGTCTATATCATTTGAAACAAACTATTAACAGTAATTACCTCTTGAAAATCAGATTTGTAGGACAAGGGGTACTTTTTCACATTTATTGTATGCATTTCTATTTGCTTTTGCATTGGATATGTATTTCATCTGTCACTTTTTAATATTAATAAGTAAATAACTTACTAATGTCAGGAATAGGGAGTAGGGAAATTTGTCAATGCAAAAGAAAGCCCCTGGGACCAGAACCCAAGCCTGTAAGAGATCTATCTGGAGATCAGTGATCACTCCAAACAGAAGAGGTAGGGTTACAGGTAGTAATGATGGAAGAGGAAGAAAGGGTCCACAAATGAGAGGAAAGGGCTTCAAGACACACTTAACTTGTTCAGTCCTTTGATTAGTTTGCCAAATTCAGTAAAGCTCTAAATTTAAGTGCATAAATGAGTTTGTGTTTAAATTACTATCTTGTCAAGAGACAGTGCAGACCTATATGAATTGGTAGATAGAGTTGTCAAGAGACAGTGCAGACCTATATGAATTGTGGTAGATAGATAGATAGATAGATAGATAGATAGATAGATAGATAGATAGATAGACAGATAAATAGATAGATGATAGATAGACAAATAGATATTCCTAGAGACAATAAGATGTTTTCTGTGGACCTTTTCCAGACCCAACTCCATACTTATTGTACACATTGAAGATTTTCCCACCTGGAAAAATAAGATTGTTAACTTCTAAAGGGATATTCAAGTGAATAAAAGGATTAAAAGTGGATTTAGATTTATAAGAGAAAAGTGATACTTACTCTGTTTTCTGCTGAATTCTTTGGGTTAGCACCTACAAATGTAACTTCAACAACTTCTCCCTGGAAATAAAAATTTATTTGGTAAGTTCTAATGAAAGAATCTTTGTTATACTCAAACTTGGGCATTATCCATTATATTTTTTAGTATTCTTGATTACTGGGTAGATTCCATTCTATATGATCAAGTAATACCATCTAAGAGTATCAGAGAAAATGCCCTTCCAACAGTGAACACAGAAATTTGGAGCCAGAAAAAAAATTTTTTGTAAATTCAAATGTAGATGAAGATCTAAAGCTGTAGTTTACATTTGTGATAGCTCATTAAAATGGATTCTGTAGTCCTTGCAACTGATTCCCACCTCCTTTCCATACACATATAAGCAACAGACTCAACCAAATAAGGTCAATCTAAACTTTTCATTGGATGACAAACATATTTACACAAAACATAGCATCTGGTTGTATACTATCCTCCAATTTGAAATAACTAAATCACTGGACAATGGTTTTAAAGAAAATAGGACATTGAGCAATGAAAGATAATTATAACTGAGTGGTAGAATATAAAGAAGGTTAGCCCTACAATCATCCCAACTGAATGACTTCAGAGAATTTATAAGCTACTGCAAAAGATGGGGGGAAGAATTCAGTCCATGTCAGGTGTTTATCTATGCTGAGGATGTAGAAGACAGAATCCATGAAAGTCAGACAGTCTTTGAGTTACCTTATGGTAACAGAAGAGAACACCACAAAGAGCAGAGCTGAAACGAGTACTAGAAACTTGGGTAAGACTCTGCTCAACTCTGCATGCATACAACGGCATTACTCAAAGCCAGGAAAGGAGTCATCAAACAAAAGTAGAGGGAATAATCCCCAAGTTCATATGGAGTTGTGGAAGGCTCCTATTCCTTTCAGCCAGAGGGAAAAATTTCTTAATTCAGAAGAGTTTTACTTTTGTGTGTATGTCAATGGGGGAAAGAGGAAGGCCACCCTAGACTAAAAGCTGTTCTGGTCCTGCTTACAAAACTTAGTAATGGGTAAAACAGCAGACCTAAGCAATAAGATTAAAGTTGGCTCTTTGAAGACACAAATTATGAAAGTCAGTCAGAAAGAAGAGGCATTATTAACCCTACAGAAATTAAGAGGATTAGGAGGGAATACTATAAATAACAAGAAATTTTATCCAACAGATTATACAATATTTTATAAAATGGGAAAATTCCTAGAGAGATGGAAATTTCTAAAAATATACAAATTCCTATAAAGACAAGTTAAATTCCAAGAAAGTCACATAATGGACTCAGAGAAAAAATTAAAAATTTAAATTAGCATATAACAAGTTTAAAAAATTAATTAAAAGAAACCAAATTGATAATTAAAATTTTTTTCATAAAGAAAACTCAGATCTATGTTTTTGTAAATAAATCTGATCAACTATTTAAAGAAGATAGAACACAAATCCTTTGAAAATTTGTTTAGAAGATAAAAAGGAAACTCTTCCCAGCTCATGCTTTATAATTTTTATGGTTTAGATTAAGAATCTCTCACCGAAGTCTCACACACTCACTCACATTGTAGGGCTTGGGTAGGGTTACTAGATCACTGGGTAATAATCACTGAGATCATCCACCGGTGAGTTCAGCAGCTGACTTGCTGTTAGGAGGTAGGGTCTGGTCAGAAGAGGTAGGTCACTGGGGGCATGATCTGGAAGGATATATCTTCCGTCTCTGCCTCCTTCCGAAACAGATTAGGGCACAGCAAGGCTAGCTGGGAAATAAGTGTGACCTGTGAATTATAAAACCCCAGGACACTGTGCCAAACAGTTCCCAAAGCCCCGAATACGGACTTCTCACAAGAATTTGAGCAAATTTTTGATAGAATGGCCTAGATCTAATATCAACCTGAGGTGTAAATGATACAAAAAGAGACACTCGCCATTAAGTGCTTGCTCTTGTGCCTCTTCATAATAGCGCACTCTTATGCTGTAGGATGTAGTTGTTTTCCTACTTGTACTTGGCCCAAAATCACTCTGCAGAGTGTTGCTTTTCTTACCTTTAATAAGACTTTTTTGCACTTGTCTTGACCAATTCCTTGCTCAAGACAAAAAGGACCTAGAAACCACCCCCAGAAGGAGACTCTAGCATCCCAAAACCTGGTGTCTTAGCCACCATGGCTTAGCTAGCTAAGAGAGCAGCTAAGGCTTTTGGGCACATTTTTTAGTTTGTTCCTATGTGTTTTCTTTTTCTTTCAGCCACAGGAGGCCTACAGGCCTGCTTGAAGTTTGTCTTCCCTTTTCTTCTTTTTCTTGTTTGCAGTAACCCCAGGAGTACAAATTAAATAGAGATACTGTTATTATGACTTTCTGTCCTTGCATTTCTGTTCTCCATGGTACTTTGCTCACTTTCTCACTGTTTGGGGAAAAATAGCTGTTGGTAACTTAGTAGTCTGCCTGAGTAGCTGCCTACCCCAGTTCACTCATTTTTATTCCCAAAGTCTCATCTGTGCTTTTCTTCTATATGGCTCTTTCTCAGGGCACATTCTTAGTAGAGGCTGCCACCTTGTCTTATCATGTAGCTGGCCACTGTTCAGGGCCAGCCACTGTCATGTTAGTCTCTAGATCCCTTTATTGTTTTTTCTAACAAAATGCAGGTTATTTAGAACAATATGCTTGTTAGCCTAAGCAAAAGAAAAGAAAAGCCAATAAAGCTTAACTCAAGAAACTGTGAGGCCTTCTTATGTTTTTAAAGGTTTTTTTCCTATCTCTACTACCTTAAACAAAGTACCAAAGCTTTTATATGGAGTAAATACAAGAGATATTGTTTCCCAAGTGGCTCCACCCTGCTTAAGAAGAGCCATTAAAGGCACAATCCCTCTCCCTAAGGAGTTAGGACCCCATATGGAGACAAAAATCCTTCGGTAGGGCTTTTTTCTTCATTTCTATGAAAGACACCCTAAACTCTGACAGGGATATCTGTCTCATAAATACTTGAGTCTCACAGGTGATACTCTGAACTAATGGGGTCTTCTCATTCTGCATGGGATGCCATCTTAAAGACCCAAGACCTAGTTGTTTCTCTCTATAGGCCCCCAAATGAGCTGTGGGAAATCTTATTAACTATGCCCCACATATTCTACTGACTTTGCCTGTAGGCCATGTCCTTGATCGATGGGAGGTTTGACACTGCCAATTTAAAAAGGAATATTTTTTCTGCTATTGAGATATGGTTTGGATTCAACATGAACTAGGAAGTGGCAAGACATAAGTATGGGATGGCAGTTCAAATTATGAGACTAAGTTTTAGTTAAGTTGTTTCTACTTAAAATGCAGGTGAAATGAAATCCTTTATGTTCAGGCTTTTGTGACTATCTAAAGAAAAGCCCAGAAACTATGGCATTTAGAGTGGTCCCCAAAGAAGAGAGAGATATCTTTGATGATCCTGTCCTTAGATCCCCCATCTGTATCTCAGGAGAAATTGGTCTCTCCCGTCTGTTTAATGAAGAAACTTCAGATGTGCTCCCAAATACCTATGACCCAATTGCTGAACATGGCTTTTTCTGTGTTCAACAATCAGGATCTGGAGGTGGGTCAAAAGAATTATATGTCACAATTGGATTAAAATTCACCTAAATTATCTAGGAGAAAATCCAAGTACAACAAAAATTTGTGTTTTAAATGCAAGAAATCTGGACACTGGGCACATCACTAAACCAACCCACTGTGTGCTCTGTGTGCAAGGCACCTAAGGTATAAGATCCCAATAATGAATGTAACTGTACTGTACTGTATACCTAAAATGTATCAATAAACTCAATTAAAAAAAAAAAACAAGCAGGAAATTCTACAACTCTTAGAAGTAGTCTAACTTCCCATGCAGTTCAATCATGGTAAGGGATCCAAAGAGACATGTCTAAAGTCTCCTTGGGAAGTCGAAAGGATGACAGGGAAGCAAGAAGGGCAGCCCTACAGCCACTCAAGACCTTACTCTATTCCCAATTCATGAGGAACCATTGTGGTCCTTCCTCAAGGGATGCAGTGACAAGTCATAAAAATCCTAGATGGGAAATGGTCACTAGAATTTTCACAGGAATAAGAAAAAAGCTATTCCTGAGAACCTCTAGAAGACCAAAGGCTCCTCTTCCAAAAGCAAGACTTTAGTATTGTACAGGCTGCAGATAAGAACAGTCTTAAATGACTCTAATTCACCACATGAGCACCTGTATTGAGGATCGTTACTTTTAATGAGATCCATTATGTGGGTAATCTTGCTAAGGCTATAGCTCTCAGGCTCTTGATAATTTATCTAATCCCCATCTTTGCCATTCTTATCCTCCATAAGAAGTATGGAGGTCTGACCTACTCCTCATATTTGGGTTCTACATCCCCAACATAATAGTAAAGTTACTTTCTTTCTCCCATCAAACAGGCAGCTCAAATAGTCACTCTTTTCTCATACTCTTCTGACATGTTTCTTTTTTCAACCCAGCCAGTGAGCCATAACATCCCAAGGTAGTTGGAGAGCACATCATCCCCAATAGGCAGGGTCTGCATCCTATAGAAGCCTATAGCAGACAGACCTCCACTCCCTCAGCAGCCCATAAAGACTTATGGAGAAGTATGTATCTCAGGGGAAAATGAGACAGGAGATTAGGGGTGGTAAAACTGGCTGAGAAAGTAGGTATAACCTGTTAATTACAAAACCCTAAGACACATGACCAGAGCAGTTCCCCTAAGCCCTGCACATGGACTTCTCATGAGAACAAGAGTAGATTTTCCTAGGATGGCCCAGACTGGGTGTCACCCTGAGGACTGGATGATACGTATAGAAAGGGCAGACCACGCTGAGTTTTTGCTGTTGTGTTTTCTTTTGTGTGGATGGTTTGACCTCATGCTGTAAGGTGTACCTCTTGTCCTACTTTTACTTGGCCCAAACACGCTCTTGCTGGTTTCTTTTTCTACCTCTAATAAAACTTTGCTATCGCTTATACTTGTGTTGACCAATTATTTTATTAAGACATAAAAACCCAGAAACCACCTCCAGAAGGAGACTCCAGCGCCACCCAAAAAGCTGCAAACATATTTTAAGGCAATGGAGACAGAAATCTTAAAGAATCCTAAAAACAAGTCTTCCTCCTTCCTCCCTATGTCCTTCTACTATGCTGTTTTTGCTTAGAGCCAGCCAACCATGAACTGAAAACATGAGCCAAAAAACATGAAAACACGAGCTTCTCTTCCTCCAAATTGTAGCTGTTGGATATTGTGTCCCAGCAATGAGAAAGTGACTAAAATGGCAACACTGGTGGTAAAGACAACATGGGAAAAGAAAACTACAAATATCCCTCAAAGAGCCAGGGATTTAACTCAGAGGTGCTACTGCCTGCTTCGTAAGCATAAGGTCCTGAGTTCGATCTCCAGTACCCCCCAAAATAAAACAAATATCCCTCATAGACATGGGTGTAAAACAGCAATGTTTTAGAAATCAGATTAAGCAGCATAAGGAAGCATTAATACCAAAACTAAAGGATATTTATTTAATAACTGAGAGTAGAGACAATATTCCATATGAGCAGAGTAAAAAAACAAAAAAACAAAACTACTAGATCATCTCAACAACACAGAAAAGCACTTGAAAATACCCAATACCCACTAACAACCAAAGCTCTCAACATACTAAGTATGAAAGAGAGCTATCATAACCATGGACAAAAACCTTAAAACATCATATTAAATGAAGTAACATTAAATGCTTCCCTCCTAGGATCACAAAACAAGGCAAAGGTATTCAATCTCACAACTTCTATTAAACACTTTATTGAAGGTCCCAGACTATTCAATGAGAAAAAAAAAGACATTCAGGAAACAAAACCCCAGAAAACAATAAGTAAACCAATTTTTATTTGTAGATGATGTACTATGTTTTGAAATTCCTAAGGAAAACATACAAAAACAATAATACCACCTATTAGAACTAATAAATGATTAGGTTATATGGTAGAAGATCAACATAAAATATGCTGGTACAGATACTGTTTGATATCTAGCTTTTTCTAACCCCTCGATTTAAAAGACATCTCTCAGCTCCAGTGAATGGATCTTTGACCATCATTTGAGAATTTATTTTAGTAATTTAATTGTACATAATTACCTTCCCCGAAAAGAATTTCCTATTCTTATTACTTTTGCAGAGTCTCTGCAAAGATAAGAACAACTGTCAAAATTATCATTGATAAACACAGGCTATGGCAGTGATGGTGAAACTTTTAAAGCTTTCAGTGATAACAATTAGTTCACCCCCACTGGTCTCTGGTACAATGAGAAGAAGGTAGTGACATTAAACAACATCCTCTCTTTTACCTCCCCGAACAGGTCTTTGAAGTATTTTAAGATCTTTCACTGAGTCTTACCACTCTGTATTCAGGTTTCACTGGCTCCAGGACATCCCCAAATTTTCTGCCTATTGGTGCTCTATCCACAATATTAGGGATCAGTGGGGCTATCAGTTGTTTGAAAACTGGAGGATCAGGACCACTGCTCATGTTGGCTACTGTGTCCTGAAATAGAAAGCATTTGCTTAAAGAAAGCTCAACATAAAGCTAAAGATCCTTTTCCCAGACCTCTAGAAATGTCTTCATTAAAGGAAGCAAAAAAATGCACACCCACACACTGGCACACACATAAGCCCATGCTTGCACACATACATGCAATCCAAATGCTAGTAGCCTTTAAAAAAAGGTATCTATAGTTTAAACTTTTGTCATTAGAAGAAAGTTTCAGTGAGAGGCAGCTGTTTAATTCCATTGGAAAGATAGCCTTGGGATCAGTGAGCAGATCAGACACTGCGTATATTTAGATTCTGAGAGACAGGAACTTTTTAACTATGTGACTTTAGACAAGGACTTGACACATGATAAGCTTTCATAATATGACCTGGAATTATCTACTGAATTTATAAAAGGTATTGAGACCCTTTCACCCAGAGTAGTACTGAGTCCTTCCCCATCCTTTTCTGTGCGAAAAAATATGCATTTTTATTTTAAATTTAAAATCAGCCTACATCTTGTCTGGTTTAAGTCAGTTTTCTACCAAATTTGACACTTTGCGCATGGCATCAAAATGCAAATCTCAATCTTTAAATAGCCTTTGATACATATTTAATTTTTTAAGGTTCACATTATATAGCTAATCTCTATAACAGCATATGGGATGGGTATGTATTGTAATTTTCACTTTATAAATGAGAAAATATACTTGGAGATAGTTCTTTTTTCAAGATCACATAGCTAGTCTCAAAATACATGATCATAAAGCAGACCATGAAACAAAGGAACCACAGTTGCTTTCACTAAATATTATTTTCTATGAAAAACATTAACAGACATTAACATTAAAACTGAGGGGAACACTATGATTAAAATAATGATCAGTTAAAATATACACAAAGTAAACATGCCATCCTGAAATCTGAATCATGCAATCAGTAACTAATGGTAGAAGCTTATGAAATTGCTAATATTCAAATGATTTGACTTGGACAGAAAATTCATCTATTTCAATCCAATATATTCAAGTTCTTTCTTTGACAGGGATTTATTGTACTTGCTGTGTCTTAATCATTTTGCAGCTTTTACCAAAGTTTATATGTTATTATATAAAGATCTGTTTGCTAAGCTCTTAATCCTCCTTGTTAGCTAAACTGAAATCACCACTGCAGCTTCAAAAGTAACCATAAAAAAAGGAAAAAATCTAACGTGAAGTTTCTTTAAATCAAATAAGTGTGTGGGCAGTTTTCTTTGGGTAGATGGTATGTGTGTATTCCAAGGCAGTAACTCTACTTCATGAAATCTAAGCCTCCATGCATTAAAACAACTTATATTATTTTGAACCACCAAGAAAATAATAATGTTATTAATTATAGTGGTAAAATTCCACTGACTAGAAGATGCACTCTAATTCCAGAAACGTTGTATTATCAACAACTGATTTCCTAAAATTGCTGACCTACGTAACTCTCGGAGTGAGCGGAGAGACTGAGGAGGATTAGAGAACACTAGTCCAACTTCCAGGTATAATTCTGATAAGCCTGATCACTTACCATCTTCCAGACTCTCCGCTCATCTGAAAAATGAAGGAAAATAGTCTCTCCTTACTTCACATTGTGTGTGTGAGGAAAGCAGCCACAACTAAAGGATGTTGACTGACTACAGCTATACTTTCTGGAATTATTTCTATAGATGGTTACTAGAGAAGTGTCTCTGATCATGTAGAGTACAAGGGTGTTGACTGACTCTGAATTTTATTAGTAGTAGAATTTCATGTTCTCCTAGCTATGTAACTATAATTTTTGTAGAAGTCTCTGGTTCTTTACTATAAAATTTGCCCAAATTTTTTAATATAAAAACTGTCCAAAAATTGAAAATGTGAGACTTAAGGTTTTCTTTTGCTTCCTCTGTGTCTCCTCAATCTGCGACGGACAAACAGAAACACAGGCAGACACATAGGCAATATTGGATTACCGTAGCAATGGCCTTAGCAAGAGCTTTGAAGAGCTGGATGTAAGCGGACAGAGTGTGTGGGCCATAGACTGTAGATGCTGCCTCATACCGCTGAGCCTGCAGGAGAAACAAAGAGAGGTATGGGTGATTCCGATGTTTTCATTCATTTACAGAGTGTAACTTTTAAGGCAAGGGTGATAACTACATCTCGTTTAAGCCAGCATACTCTTCAATATTAGTTATAAAAAAATGAGAGTGGGTATGTCCATTTACCATGCAGAATAAATGGCTCCCCTGGCTTGTTAAATTCAGTGGATTCTCTTTGCTTGCAGCATTTAGACTATCGCTACAATTAATACGAAAAAGGGTGGCCTCTCCTGAGTTTCTGTCTATTGTAAGTACTTGTAATACATAAACACCTTATTTGGGGCATAAATTGGGGAGAAAAAAGTCCTAATAATTCCTGGATAAACTGGGTGTTGATGATACTCTGTGCAGAAATTTAACCCATCAGAGATATGAAAACAGAGCCAAATGCACCTCTTTTTGCCTGAACTCAATGGGAACCTCACTCATCCGATCTAAAAATTCACGCATCACCCCAAACACACCTGTTTTCCCTAATACATCTGCAGCTCAGTGAGTGCCACCCTTCCGCACTCACATGAGGATCAGGTGGTAATCATTTTAGACTGCTCTTTCTCCCTCATCCTACATGCTATCATCCACCACATCTTATCACTCTCCCTCCTTAAAAATCTCTTTGTCCATTTTCCTCTGTCTCTACTTTCCTTACCTTTGTTCAAACCCTCCTCTGTAACCCAGGTGTCAGCCACAGCTTCTCAAACAGTTCTGTCTCTACACATTGCCTTCCTATTCATTTGCTACATGGTCTCCCAGTGACCTTTCTAAATCACAAGGTGGATCAAAGTACTTTTGCTTTGAATCCTAGGCAGTTCCCCTAATCCTTTCTTATTGAGTCAAAGCTCTGTAGCGCAAGATATAAGACTCCATCAGCTAAGCCCTGCCTCTTACTCTTATCTTGCCACACCCTTATCATACTTTCTTCATGGTACTCCAACTAATTATGGCCACCAACGTGCTGAATCTACCCCTCCTGATCACTGATGTGTTGTTCCCTCTGTAAAGACATCTTCCTAGTTTTTACTTGTTTGACTACCCTCACTTGTTCTCAAAAACTCAAACAGATCTTACCTCTTCCTGAATACCTCCCAGTCCTTGTCCTCAAATACTGAGTCCAGTCTAGTACTTTTTCTCCTTGTTTTCACATCACCTGTGCATGCCTTACCCAAAATGCAATCATTTGCTTTTGTCTTTTCCTATTAGATTCACTTCTAATGGTTTGGGGTTAGGGCAACCTTTGCATTGCTGTGCTCCAAAATGTGACTAGCAGTGTCAGTCACAACGTATATCTGTTGAATTAATTTATGAGTTAATAGTAACCTCTACAGAACACATCCTGGACTGGGCGATGAGACACTAGGGGATCCTATTCTTGTTTGTGCCATGGCCACCTTTGGCAGTCTGCTGAGACCCGTAGCCCTCTCTCAAATTGATGGCTCAAAATAAAACTGATGAGAGTAAAAAAGGAAATCAATTAAATGAAATACATTTATCAGACTGTAATAAACCAATTTGGTGATATAATAACATGTATGCTTCTTTATTGCACTATTGCATAATAAGACTCAGCTGTAGATCCAGTTACTACTGTGATTTCAAAATAATAATAAGGGGGGAAATAATAATAAGAATAAAAGATATTTCCAGATCTGTAATAACTGTATGCTATATTAAAATATCTGTGGTTCTTACTGGTGACAAAGTCTGAGGTACTGCTAATATTATTATTGTTTGTTTCCTACATACATAATCAAAGGAAATACTAAATAACAGAAAATGGTGGAAAAATAATTCTATTTTTCCTATCCTTGTTTGCCTCTGTTAAGAACTCATATTCAACAGTGCTTTCCTTAGGCTAAAGCATGAGCGCAAAAGGTCCCTGTGATAAAGTCCTATTCCTTGGCCAGGGACTATTGGAAGACACAGAACCATTAAAAGTGGCCTTCAGGGGAAGACTTTGAGTCATTGGGGACGTGGTCTCTAAGGGAATAGTGGGACCCAGCCACTTCCTCTTTCTCTTATTTGCCTCCTCCATGTGAGGTGAATCATTTTGCTTCACCACACATTCCCCCCATTTTCATCCAGAGCCACAACCAGAGACCGAAAAGGAATGTGTCTACCAATGATGAATTGAAAGGTCCAAAGTAATGGGCCAAAAGAAAGCTTTTCTCTTTATAAGGCTATTCTCTGAGGATTTCAGTTCAGCCAAGAAAACGAAAAAGGGCAGATTTCACTTCTAATGTCTGTCACTGAATATTTGCCGAGGGATCACTGTACGTGTGCATGGGCTGCCATGATATAACAGCTAGTATGTTAGAAAACATTAGCTGCGGGACTCTAGACTGTTGTCATGTGCTTAACTACTAGTGTTAAAAAGCACAAAGGAGGCCCTTGTGTTCTCTATTGCATGGATGACTCATCCTCATAGTGTAGGTATACTTCTTTTCCTACTTCTGCTTGGCCCAAATTCACTCTGTAGAGTCAGTTTCTTTTCCAACCCTTAATAACACTGTGCTAGCATTAAAAAAGAAAGTACCTGGGTTGCTTTCTGAACTGTTTATAAACAAAGAAGCAATGCCAGCCACAAATCTCTCCAAAATTCTCTAGGACTTCATTTTTTATGGATACAGTAATACTCTGATTCCACATGCACTGCAAGGATTACTTAAGATTACATTTGCAAAGTGCTTAACTGGTGCATCCAATAAAAGGATACTGTCAGTGGGACTTTTCCCAAGCTCTATAGAGGCTTAGTCACAAGCTTATGAGTGGTTATCTGTATGCCACAGACTATGCTTATTACCAGCATCTCTGACAAAATTGTTGTTTTGAGGAAAGATGGAAATCAGAGTCTAGAATTCTGACCTGAACTCAGAAATTATAAACTTGGAAGTCCCAGATACAAGCTGTAGCTTTACTATTCTCATATATTCCCCCATTAAAATAAAATCTCTCTCAGAAAAATCTATGAAGTATGCATTTGACACACTGGTCTTGGCCAAGGTGTAATTCATTTAAATGATGAGAACACTTGTACTTTACCTGGTATTCTTCATAAGTGGTAATGTAATGTGTGTAAACATTGCATAGACCCGAAATTGCAACAGTCATATCCTTCATCCCATGTGATGCAAATTCCTAGGAGGGGGGAATAGAGTCCAGTAAAATTCCTCTTCATCTTAAATTTATTTTTTCATTGAGTTTATTGGTACATTTTAGGTATACAGTACAGTTACATCCGTTATTGGGATCTTGTACCTTTACATGACAGGTCTTGGTTCTCATTTTTTCCCCTTGTCCCTGCCCTCCCTTCACCCCCTCCTCCCCTCCCCATTTATAAACACTTTTTTTTTCCATTTTCTCATATTTTTTTTCTTTTCCCTTTAAATTTATTAGCATTCCAATTATATTTAAGGCACAATCACTGATGTGAATTAGTAATTTAAGATGTCTCTCTGAATAAATTCTCCCAATATCAAAACCACCAAGAAATCCAGAGGTATCAGAGTTCTTGATGAAAATTTATAGGCAAAACTCTGCACTACAGTTGTACATGTCAATGGATCTATGAGCATCTTAACAATAACATTTGCAGATATAGAGACAGTAAAATCAATTTTGAGAGTTTTGAAAATCAACTTTCTAAAAAATATAAGTAAATATTAGCAACCCAAACACTTATTTTCAGCTCCATGTAACAAGATATTTGTTTATATGTCATTATAGAACTGTTTTTAAATACTTTCTGTGTATAAAGAATATAAAGAAAATCATAAATATACATAGTACACAGAACTCCCAAAATGTGATACAGTTTATGCTATGGTATCTATCTAGATGTCCCCCAAAAGTTGGGGCTTTTGAAAAAGATTGGACCATGGGGATATTACAACTGACTTGCTGTTAGGAGGCAGGGTCTGGGCGGGAGGCAGGTCCCTAAGTACATACTCTGGAAGGTATATATTCCTCCCTGGCTCTGTTCACCTCTCTCTCTCTCTGCTTCCTGGTTGCCAGCCACAACATGAACAGCTTTTCTTCTGCTATGCCTGTGTGCCATGCTGTTATGCCTTTGAGCCAGGGGACTATGGATTAAAAACATGAGCCAAACTATTTCTTTAAATTGTGGGTGTTGAGTACTGTATCCCAGCAACAAGAAGGTGACAAAGACATTTGATGTAAAATGTTCATAGGGCTTTAAGATTAGTGATTAGGGATTATTTCTTAGCTAATCCATAAAACCATTATTAATTCTTAAATTATTTATACAGAAATACTAATAAAATATTTTAACCTGAAAATAATTGTCTTATGTTTTTAAATCTGGTTCTTATACAAATAATAGTTAATATTCACCTCTACCTATTAATTTGAAGAAGTATGGAACTCTAGAAATATTTATGAAATTATTCATAACAAGAGATGTCAAATCATAGCGATAGATGGGGAGATAATAGGTAGCTATTTCATTTAATATTTAACATACTGTTTGAATTGCCTCTTGAAGTCTTCGTCCAGACATAGTCCTAAATCAAGAAAACATAATTATGTAAATGTTTTTTATTTAGAATGCATGCAAGTATAGAAAAAGCCTTGTAGTAAAAGCCAAAAAGTTGCCCTGGGTTAACACATAATAAGGTAAAAATATAGGAAATAAATGAAAAAGCAAAGCTAAAGTTCAGTGGTTTGTTTTGGTTTGTTTTGTTTCCTGTCTGCCCTATCTACAAAGTAGGGTAGGAGAAAGAGAACAAGGGTAAAGAAAAAATATGAGAAAATGAAAAAATGGAAATAAAGCGTTTGTAAATGGGGGTGGTGAAGGGAGGGCAGGGACAAGGGGAAAAAAATGAGAACCAAGACCTGCCATGTAAAGGTACAGGATCCCAGTAATGTATGTAACTGTATTGTATACCTAGATTGTTCCAATAAACTCAATAAAAAATAAAATAAAAAGCAAACTCTAAACTTAAAACAATTTGACCAAAGAAAGAAAACAGAATCAGTAAACGTTACTAGCAAAAGATCATCATGACTTTTTTCCATTCATTGATTCAACAAAACATATAAATTGAGTCTTTGGAGTCTTTGTTGGTTAGAGCTGAGGCACAGAAAAAGTGCACTATGGTTCCAACCAGCAAAGGACTTGCCATTTCATCCATATATTTAATCTTTCAATTAGACACTGAGCATTTCCCATATACCAAGCCTATTTCCAAGTGCTAATGATTCAAAAATATGGAGCTTATATTCTAGGGAGCAGAGATGGTCAACAAGCAAATTTAAAAGCGAGACGACAAGAAATGATAATCAGGGAACAGATGAAAGGGAATGGCGGTGAGCTTTGAGGTAACAATGTTCGCAGTGATGTCTCTGGGGATTGGTGGTAGTGGTGCTGTGGGTGAGGACCATTTTATATAGTGTGATAAGAACTGCCATTCCTCTTAAGGGATTTGAGAAAAGAACTGGAAGAATAAAATATTGGGTAATTAAAGGAATGTGTTCCACACGGAAGGAGCCATCGCTTCAAAGGCATGTGTCAAGAGCATTTCTAGGGAGTCTCGGCAGCGCTGGGTGGCTGAAGCAAGCATGAGCAAGGGCGATTAGTAAGAAGTCAGGTCAGAGAATATACTTAGTAATAGGTCATGTGGAAACTCACAGTATGGTGTGATGATTTAAGGATTTACCTGGAATGTGATGGGGAACTACTGGATGCTTTTGAGCAAGGAAGCGACCTAATTTGGCATAGGTTTTAAAAGAATTAATTTGGCTGTTGTTTGGGGGATACACTATAGAAAACTAAGGGAGAAACGAGGCAGAGCACATAGGAGGATATTGTAACAGTCTGAGTGAGAGAGAAGGGTGACTTATACCATGGAGAAAAGTGTTGGGCAGAATGTACAGAATTTGCTGAAGAGTTGAAAGAGGAAAAAATAGAAAAACAGACAATTCAAGGATGATTCCAAGATATAGGGACTAAGCAACTGGAAAGACATAAATATTTCTACTTAATGATATAGGAAAGACTATGTAAGAAATTTCAAACATTATTCCATGATTTCAACTCCCAAATTGATTGCTTTGAGCATTTATATTTTAAAGATATTTCAAGTCTTTAAAATGACATAAAAATTCACGGTATTAGTTTATTTTATGGTATATTCATAAGTGTTTATATTTTCCTTAGGTTACACACCAATAATAGACATAGAGATTTATTTTTCAGAGAATTCTCCAAAAGAAGGTAAAAATATTTGTCATTATTTTCAAATGTAGGTACAGTAGGATATCAAGGGGTCAGCACAGAATTATCTGCCCATATTAATTAATTCCCAAAGAAACATAAAATAAACATTTTAAAACTGAGAAATAAAAAGAACTTACGTAACCTCTCCAGGGACAGCAGTGATGGCCAAAGATCCAAGAGTAACAATTTGAACATCAACAATGTCTGGATGCCAGGGATGAGGTCTTGATAGCTAAGAACGAAAACAAGAACACCGTGTCTTATGGTCAACAGACAGACACAGATCTGAAAGCTTTGGATTTTTTATCCTATTGTGGGATTTCCAATTTATGATGAGGTACTAAATACACTGTACGGGTATTGCACAGTCCTGGTCATAACATGTAAATTTCAAATGCTAATGCATCATTAACCTGGCCTTACCGGGGAAATGTTTGGGGAATTTGTCTTTATGGAACCACAATGTGTTAACAAATAACTAAGGATTCTCCTAGAGCAGTGATAGTGAATCTTTTTAGAGCTTTCAATGTAAATAGCCCATGCCAGCACACATGCCATAGCTCGCCACCACTCTTCTAGAGTATTATGAGTGCTGTAGTTTTCAGTGTAGAGGTCTTTCGCTTCTTTTGTTAGATTGATTCCCAGATACTTCATTTTTTTGGATGCTATTGTGAAAGGAATTGCTTCCCTAATTTCTCTCTCAGTGAGTCTGTTATTTGTGTACAAAAAGGCTATTGATTTTTGGGTGTTCACCTTGTATCCGGCTGCTTTACTGAGTCTGTCAATCAAGTCTAGAAGTCTTTTGGTGGAGTTTTTTGGGTCTTCAATGTAGAGTATCATATCGTCAGCAAATAATGACAGTTTAACTTCTTCCTTTCCTATCTTTATTGCTTTAATTTTTTTCTCTTGTCTAATTGCTTTGGCTAATGTTTCCAGAACTATATCGAAGAGGAGTGGTGATAGTGGGCATCTTTGTCATGTTCCTGATTTTAACATGAAAGTTTTCAGTTTTGGGCGATTTAATATGATACTCCTAAGTGAAATAAATAAGTCACACATGTGTAAATACCGAATAGTTTCTCTGGTGTACTATAATAGTACATAAGATCCTAATGAGATAACTGACATTGTGAAATGGGAAGAAAAGGGCTAAAGGTGTAGGGAAGGTGGGATGGGTAGGGGAAGGGTAATAAGGGAAAAGAAAAATTGTGAGAAAATGAAAAGATGGAAATAAAGTGTTTGTAAATGGGAAGGGGAGGAGGGGGTGAAAGGAGGGCAGGGACAAGGGGAAAAAATGAGAACCAAGACCTGTCATGTAGAGGTACAAGATCCCAACAATGAAAGTAACTGTATTGTATACCTAAAATGTACCAATAAACTCAATTAAAAAATAGAGTATTATGAGTGACTGTTTTTATATACCATGAATAAAGAAGGCCATTTAGAGTAGTTCATCATAATAATTTTTGTTTTCACTGTAATAGAACTTTAACTTTACCATTCAGAAGTCTTGCACCTTTATTTAGTTAACAATGTTGTATAAAGTGTGAAAGAATTGGGACATGGTTACTGCAACATTCTGTGCATAAGAATCTTGAGTAAGACAAATATCATCTTATTCTTCCTTTCCCACTATTCTGCTTCATTTATTTCTCAAATTGCAGTAAGGCAAATAAGTATATTTTTCTTTTTATTTATTTGTATTATATAGTGTATTTGTTTATCATATTATTATTTTATAGAATGTATTATATTTTTATTATATTAGTATATTTTTATACTACACAATGTTTATATTCCTTGTGGAGAATTTCTTCAAAGGAATTAAGATGTGGATGTACAGGTATCGATTCTCTCCCAACCTGCTCCCTCGCTCTTGGTTTTGCTTATATGAGAAACCCAGAGTATAAATTAAGAACAAAATAAAAGATAATAGCAGATGGGGAGATATGTCTTTCTCAAGGGAGAAAGGGATCAAGAGGTGGAGGGCAAAGAAGGGGAGAGAAAAGGGGATTAAAAAAGGAATTAAGATGCATTATGTACATGTACCAACTCCACACAAAGAATGTAAACATTTTACAGGGAAGGGAGGAAGGGGTGAAAGGAGGGCAGGGACAGGGGGAAAAAACGAGAACCAAGACCTGTCATGTAAAGGTACAAGACCCCAATGATGAATGTAACTGTGCTGTATACCTAAAATGTACCAATAAACTCAATGAGAGAAAAAAGAAAAAAAAAGAATGTAAACATTATGTATCATAAATATGTATGAAAAATGAAGGGGATTAAGAAATCAGTATCTTTTGGGCCGGGGATTTAGCTCAGTGGTGCCACTGCCTGCTTTGCGAGAGCAAGGTCCAGAGTTCGATCCCCGGTACCCCCCCAAAAAAAGAAATCATTATCTTTTATAATCATAATTCTAAGTCCTTAGAGTTTGACTCATAGGATTCATTTAGTGTTAAGTTTTAGGTGGGAATATATGTTAATTTTACTATAATAATGAGGGTGCATCACCTCTCCAGTGTGAAGCAGGACTGGCTTTGGTTTATGGCAGTCTTTGATTTCTTGAGATGGTCTGCCCAGGAGCTGATTCCGAAAGTATTCCCAAAATGGATCTGTTTCTGTTGTCCCTATTAGAAATATTATGATTAATACGATTTTTTTAAATAACCCACTGAAAAAATCATTACTTAGACAGATATAGAAAAATTATTTAGAAGTTTTAGAAATTTAATTAAGATTGCTGTTCAATAATCTCAAACAGTGTGAATAATAAAAGGGGAATTTATTGTGCATCAAAAAATAATAAACATA